ATTTCTCTTGTCTATCCTGTTCATTTCTCTCAAATAGTTGGCCAATTCTCGTTCCCATTACAATACACTACAAAATTCAATACTTTCAGTTTTAATATGACTACCTAAACACGACTTCACCTTCAGATTATACTCAGTATGTCTTACATTGCATGTGCCCATCCTTAAATACAAACACGCTATCTCCTCCAGTCAGACCTTCAGTTCAGCATATCGTGACAAATTTTAAAACTTCATCAGCAGCTGTCAATATACATGACACACATAACATCTTCATGGCTTTGAATCTTCAAGCACATCTGTGAACTGATCAGTTCATTTCTTAACTTCAATCTTTTTAAATAAGCAGCTTCTTCCATGTACTTCCAGTAGACAGCGAGTAGGAAACGTAAAATCTGAATTTATTTGTAACCAAATCTGGTTTCCAATGGTTTTTAACCACCACCATGATAATTGATCCACACTATAAGCAGCTGACTAAGGTTTAATTTTCAAGATTCCTGCTTGGCTTCTCTCCTCAAGAACGTTTACCCTTTGCATTGTAAATCACAAAACAAATCAGTTTAGGTTACTTCACATTCTTACCCCTGTATTATACAGTGTAAGGATCATGAATAAGAATATTTGTTTTCATTGTAATGCCCGGCCACTTTCACTTCCTCAACAAATTTCACTGACACACTTCAGCTTGGTAGTAATACAATACAGTGGTATTCACATAAAGATAAAAGCAAACTGGTTTAGGTATATATGACATCATCTAAAAGTGTATCCATCTGTGATATAGCTGTCAGAGCCAAGTGGGACTTCACAACAGAAGCTGAACTGAGCTGGATAAACTGTTAAAAATGTTTAGAAGCATTAATCTATGCTTGGATTTTCAACTTGCATTTAAGACGATTACTGATTTGGACTCTCTGTTGTAATCCATGATAAAATGCTACACTAGCTGTTATCATTTTACATTATTTACCAAAAGAATTTAGTATACGACAAGTTTTTTTCATTGTTTTTATAAAATACTATCAACATTTCAGGAAACTTGTCCTAATGTACAGAAACAAATCACACTTTTAAGAAAATCACACTTTAAGAAATTAAATCAATGCTTGTAATCCCTGCTTAATACACACACGCACACATTTTAAGAATAATGTATCCTGCACTCATACTACCCCATTTAACACTTCAACAAGTACTTTGGATTATTTACCTTAACCAAATAGAAATTTAAAATACTTGACTTTTTACAACCACTACTTTCATCTCATTTGACGTAAAAAAATAGCTTTTTTTTTTATTAAAAAGAAACAAAGAGTAAATAAACTATCAAAATAATCACTGGTTCAATCCACCCAAGCCAAGACAGTATAAACAGTAAAGTACTTACACATGCTACCACATAAACCTACACAAAAGCATAGTAAAATACCCCTGCAATATGTGTTCTCAGTACAAATACGCTATACCTAGGACTGAAATATTACGCAGTACTCGCATAAAATATAGGGTAAGCTCCTATTTGCTATGTGGAATCTTATAAATAATGCAGGGACTACAGTATTACATTACTGTAGAACTTGGGACAGACTTTGCATACAACTTAATAAACAAACAACAAGATATATGAAGAATTTTGCCTTCCTTAAAAAATTCTTATATATATTGAATTATAGAGACCATGTATTGTTCATCATGTAAAACATACTCAAAATAGCAATTGGGCTCACTTCCAGAAAATATTTGGTTTTTGCAAAATAAACTATTCACTTCAATTCTATGACAAATTGGTGAAGCAGAAAATGAATACTGACATTTTCTTCCCTCTTATGGAATTCCTTAACTTTAATCATTCAAATAAAATGTAGATTCTAGCACAAGTCTAGGTACATGTACTAATCCCTAATTATGGCCCATTCTCATAGACACCCATGGGCCTACGTGCCTCCTCTTGGCGTTGGTTTTTATGTATATAAATGTTAGAAACAAGAGGTGTGTCATTTAGTTAAACTGATTGTACTCAGCAAGAGTCTCTACAGAGTTGGGTCAATCTATGTAGACTGACCGTGTCTATTGGACTGGGGTCTAAGGGCGTATTCCCAGACATTTAGATCGATCTATCCCCATGGGGAGTCTCACTAGATTACTGTCAGATAATCTGGCTTAAATGTCCATCCCGCCTACTACAAGCTGTAAGGGGGTAATTAACTTTCGTGTCTGCTCGGCTGATAGCTATTTAGCGTGAACCCCCAGTTAGGTCAATCTAGTTTGGATCGATCTGATCTCTGGGAATGGGGTCTAAGTGATGGGCTTATATGCTTGTGTTAACTCCTTGCTCATAAGGGGTAGGTGCTTCCTATAGCTGTGAGTATTAACCCCTTTGTCTTCTGTCTTATAACTTTGCGTGGGTTACATTGTGTCCAATACGAAAGCACCTATTCATCAGGAAGGGGGCAGATGGTAATCTTACGAGGATTAAAACAGTTGTTGGGCTTATGGTTATGCATGGTTGTCTGTCTGGAGACTTACCAACTGGACAGTAGCTGCAAGAATTAAGAAGTTGCCTAGACCAGAAAACCCAGTCGGTTTTGCCAATGTGTTTTACTGTCTTCTCTAACACATTTCCCAACTTCTCCAACTGCAATCTGTTCAAGTTGTTGGTTCTGTAAGAACAATTTGTAACTTATAAACGTATCCATACCAGAAATTACAATGTTATTGTCATTAATATTAACCTTTTGAAAACAACAAATATTGCATGTCTTATATGGTGAAAAAATGATGACACAATACTAAACTTTCTTAACTGATAAATAACATGTGTGATGTCTATTAGAATGCAAATCACCAATTTTCCACTAAAAATGACTGTAGGCCAGAAGACTTTAAAGTCCACATTTATCCTAGCTTTTCAAATTCCACTTGTTATCTTGTATTCTAACACTATTTTGAATACATCCCCATTGTTCTAAGGAGTTACTCTTCAAAGTAGGAAGTTAAGAACAATCTCCCCAGTTTCGAGGTGTCAACATGTGAAGTCAATTAACACTGAAAAAGAGTCAGAAGAAAGAGAAAGCGTAAGAAACATTATCCACAGAACCTGTCTACATTATGTGAACACATAATGGGTGCTGCAACTTTTTGGCACCACTGTTATCTTGTCCTGTATTTTTAACCACAGGTAAAAGGATAGCCCTTGTCTCTTCTTTTTTCCTTTATTAAATGTCTCTATAGTATCCCTAACCACCACCAGCACTGCTGAACAATAAAACAGCTTAATAAGATGAAGGAAGAGGTATGAAACCACAATACTAATATATAATAAAATCAACACTATTATCATTGCTGTAACATTCTTAAAGTCTGACTGAAGTAGCATATATACTTTGTTTTGACACTAGCTGATAAACTGGATATAATTTGTTTTCAAGCAAAGTGACCAGATCTCCAGGAAACCCTAAAGCACCAAAGATACTTAAAACATCGCTTAAACAATCTGGTTGAATAAATACTAGCTCTTAAGACGCTGACATTCCCACATAAATTAATCAATGATGTGTATCCCCCCCCTTCCCTCCTCCAGTAAGTCTAATTTGCAAGTTTTTTTTCTCGAAATTCAGTTCTGCATTGACTTAAATCAATGTCTATGCAATTCAATTAAACAATTAATAGCCAATTTAATTGTTAATTTCTATGTTTCCTACTTTATAATCTCAAGAAAGGCCAAAGGCAATAGGGTCCTCGAGGAAGGTAAAACTTATGCACGTGTCGGCTGATTTCTGAAATAACCTCAGCTCTCAGACACGGATAAACATTATGACATAACGGAATTTGAAAAAACATTGGCAATTAAAGACTTTTACAGTAGTAGAGGTGTGTAAACTGCATAAAATTGCGAACTGATTTTGCTTTGCCATGGTTTGGTACAGGGTGAATGCATTGTGCTTGATCTACACTGCACAGGTTATGTCACTTACTAATACTTTCCTCTAAACGTTGGTTCACTCACATGAAAACAAAGTATGTGTGCCTTATAAGCACAAGAAAATCAAACTCACCGCTATTTGTCTTATTTGTGGACAGTTACTGTTAGCTGTGTATTGACCACATAATATAACTATACTCATCTAACTCCATCAAGATCACATGTCCCGCTCCCAACAACAAGTACGGATTAACACGCACCGAAACCACGACACCAATCTACCTTCGTAAAATGAAAGATATATTAATAATTCCAATAACTTTGAATACAATTACACCAAATCTATGCACTTTTGTTCTATTTTTTTCCTAGATGCACAATTTGTACACAGCATTATTTATATAATCAGCATAACACAGTAGCTGCATACGCGCGTTTGTACAATGGTGCGGTCTTTATTTCCGGCTAAAGCGCGCTGTGTGAGAACATGAAAAAAATTGGTGTAATTCTACCCCCAGTATAGTCTTTTGCAATTGTATTTTCTGTTCAGCTATCTGTTAGCTCTTTGCGCCATGGGTATTTTGAAAATAAGTTCCCAATGCATCAGGGTAAGACGTTTAAATATACTTTTGGTTGAACGTACATGTACGGTTTGGATGGAAAAATTCTGTCAAAGTTTCAGTAGAAAGAAGTGGGAACACTGGACAGACTAATGGGAAAGATATCATGCACTTTGTTTTCTACGTAAAAGCTAAATATTCAAGTTACTTATACATAAATATTTTGGCATTATACATGAATATCATACCTTCCGCATTTGTATTGTGAAGTGCCGGGAGGATAAGTCGATATATAAACACTGTAAACACTGTTAGTGTCACTGAACATTGTTTATAAAAGGCTTTTTTTGTCACTTAAAGGTCTTCTCTAGTTCAAGAATGCTGTGTAATGTACCACATCATCCCTCCGTACAGAGCTTCACTTTGATGCGGATGATCCCCAGCTTTCACACACTGTCAAGGCATGGAGCAGGCGGTAAGATATTGGAAGGTATACTAGTGTATAGTGACTGTCCAGGGTTGACTGGGGCTTGGTAGCTCAGTGGGTAGGGCACTTACTAGGTAAGAATCTGGGCACTCACCAGGTAAAGCATACTAAGTTCGATCCCCTATGAAGTCTGGTGTTTCCCCCCAAATCACTTCAATGGTGGTAGCACAAAAATTCATGCATTAATACTCCTATTGACAGTACTGATATGTACTAGCGGTGCTAACACATAAAAGCAAAGGCCTCAAAAAGTGGGAAATGAGAACCAGTTGCCAAACCAGCCGCGGTGCGGCAGCTCTCAAATTTTTATTTTACATCTCACCTCCTCAACACGCACATTACTGTGAAGCCAACTGGTTTTGCCATCAACAGAGCTGTCACTTTGTTAATATCCAACAGTCCAACTGTCTAAGTACCAGTTTGATCGTTGTAAAATCACACACCCGTTGTAAACAGACAAAAACCAGGTCAATTCTACTCAGATCATGAGGCGAGGTTTTTAAGCGCCAGTAACCTACTGCACATGAGTGGAATTTATTTTAAGACTGGGCCTTCTAGTTGATTTTCACTATGTATTTATGACAATATAAGCATTTATTTTGAATGAAAAACAGTTGAAAATTCCATTTCAGTGACTTCATTTTCATCAATTCAGTTAATTGGGGCAGAAACGTAAAGAGCGTGTGACTTGCCTAGCTTTCCTCGTTCCAGCCGAGTCCAGACAGCATGTGGACCACAACTTTCGGTCATGTGCAATATGTTACTGTACCTTGACTTCAGTAGATTTGACCTGGTTTTCGCAAGTTTATAGCATGTGTATGATTTTATATATAATTTGAACGTTCCTTGTGTGACAGCAACTAAATTAAAAACTAGGCTTTTCTATATCTGTATTCTATGCAGTAATAGCACAACAAATGCTAAGCCTATATAGAAATATAGTTTTGTGATTATAAGATAATGAGTCTGAAAGATTGATAATTTTTACCCATTGAAAAGATGAATTAATTACTGTACTTATCTTTCCTATTTCAAACCTAAAAGAGAATTAAAACCTCAACTTAAAGTATCAATTTTTCTTAATTTCTGAAATTAACATGAAGCCGTGGCAGTCTGAACAACTTTTGGTAATAGAGGACAAGTGGATTTGGTAGAAAATCCCAGATAGGATACCTTTGAACACGGTGTGGCTAATGCACATCATAATAGAACTGTCTATTATTATTATTATTACCGTATTATTATTATTATTATTATTATTATTATTATTATTATTATTATTTCCGCAGGTAAAGCACAACAGTTTGGACAATGTACAAAAACAGGGGTTATGGTACCACAAGCTAACGGTCCTGATTATCCTTCACAAGTGATCAGGCNTACACTTTTGTTCTATTTTTTTCCTAGATGCACAATTTGTACACAGCATTATTTATATAATCAGCATAACACAGTAGCTGCATACGCGCGTTTGTACAATGGTGCGGTCTTTATTTCCGGCTAAGGCGCGCTGTGTGAGAACATGAAAAAAATTGGTGTAATTCTACCCCCAGTATAGTCTTTTGCAATTGTATTTTCTGTTCAGCTATCTGTTAGCTCTTCGCGCCATGGGTATTTTGAAAATAAGTTCCCAATGCATCAGGGTAAGACGTTTAAATATACTTTTGGTTGAACGTACATGTACGGTTTGGATGGAAAAATTCTGTCAAAGTTTCAGTAGAAAGAAGTGGGAACACTGGACAGACTAATGGGAAAGATATCATGCACTTTGTTTTCTACGTAAAAGCTAAATATTCAAGTTACTTATACATAAATATTTTGGCATTATACATGAATATTATACCTTCCGCATTTGTATTGTGAAGTGCCGGGAGGATAAGTCGACATATAAACACTGTAAACACTGTCAGTGTCACTGAACATTGTTACTTAAACAGTTTATAAAAGGCTTTTTTTGTCACTTAAAGGTCTTCTCTAGTTCAAGAATGCTGTGTAATGTACCACATCATCCCTCCGTACAGAGCTTCACTTTGATGCGGATGATCCCCAGCTTTCACACACTGTCAAGGCATGGAGCAGGCGGTAAGATATTGGAAGGTATACTAGTGTATAGTGACTGTCCAGGGTTGACTGGGGCTTGGTAGCTCAGTGGGTAGGGCACTTACTAGGTAAGAATCTGGGCACTCACCAGGTAAAGCATAAGTACTAAGTTCGATCCCCTATGAAGTCTGGTGTTTCCCCCCAAATCACTACAATGGTGGTAGCACAAAAATTCATGCATTAGTACTCCTATTGACAGTTCTGATATGTACTAGCGGTGCTAACACATAAAAGCAAAGGCCTCAAAAAGTGGGAAATGAGAACCAGTTGCCAAACCAGCCGCAGTGCGGCAGCTCTCAAATTTTTATTTTACATCTCCTCTCCTCAACACGCACATTACTGTGAAGCCAACTGGTTTTGCCATCAACAGAGCTGTCACTTTGTTAATATCCAACAGTTCAACTGTCTAAGTACCAGTTTGACCGTTGTATGTGGACCACAACTTTCGGTCGTGTGCAATATGTTACTGTCAGTGTATGAAATGGCCGCCTGCCCGCCAGCCTGAGGCTGGTAACTTTCAGGCCGGGCGGGTAAGATTTACAAATAACCCGCCCGATGGGCTGGCTATTTTTACAGCCTATTTTCTCCTTTTATTTTGACTATGTTCACAAGCGTTTTCAGCAAAATATCAAATCAATTTACTGTTTTTACCCACTTTCATAGAAGCAAAGAACTAACCATAGCTTGCAATCGAACACTCGTATTATAAGAATCGAAATGTAACCAAGTCTCCCTCTCAGTGGCCTCTTTTTCAAAGTACTGTCTGTGTGATATGAGGATGAGAGACAATTCGAAACGAGGCACATTGTTCTTAACCAGCTTCAGTGCACAGCAGATAACATTACGTCATTGTTTAGTGTAGAGGAGATACCGTGAGTAGCAATTTGTAGGTTGAGAGTAATAAACATGTGAAAGTATGAAAAGTTATGATATTGATTAAATAGACTTGCAGGTACATGAAGTACTTATAATCAGCAGTAATAAAGGCAACGGAGGCAAATTAAAGGAGAATTAAAAAAAATTGAATCACAATATTATGAGTGAATGTACGAGTTTCCGACATGCGTCAGATGTACAGGTAGTTCTTTTCCCACGTGCTTTCATCTTGGGCTGTCAAAAATGAAAAAAATTCTATCAAGTCCGATAAAGAAGTTCACAAAAGAAAAAACAATTGAGGGAATAAATAAAAATAAGAAAGATTTCGAGAAAACCATACGAAAGAGAACAAATTGGGACCCATTGGAAGGTGACTTCGATTTGCAATGAGTCGAGCGGAAACATTTTTTGTAAAACCGTAACTCGAAAGTATCACGCAGTGCGACCGAGCGCAAGCATCTCGATCCAATAACTCGCCCATACTCGCCCCATATAATATTTGTAGCCTCTATGTGATATAGCTATTCTCAATAAGCGATGCATTCAAGGTACGGGGCTCTGCAGGGCTGTCTATGGGCCATTAGCGTGCAGGACCTTTCCCGACCGCTTTAAGCGATATTCACAGGGACCCTACGTGCTGAATTCTTTCTTCTTTATTGTCAGCACAGAGATCAATCTATTTGACAAGAATATAAAATATGTATTTGGTCATACTTGTTGCTGTACAGAAAAGTAAAAATTATGATCAAATGATATCACAAATCAGAATAAAAGTTATGAATAAATTATTGAAGAAGAAATGAGACAGCCTGCAGGGTGAAAATAAACTGAATTGACTACACTTCCTCCCCCGCCCGCTAAAGGGCCCTGAAAATTTTTGGTATTTTAGATGGTGAATGGTGCCATTTGGTATGGTTTAGAAATATGATTCAANGCAGAAATTGAAAGGGGGGGCGTCAGGACCCCCTGACCCCCTCTAAATCCAACACTGACAATGTATCATTCAGTAGAAATTCCAACCAATTTCTAAATTTCCATGCATAAGGCATGATATTGCCCTTTTATTTCCAAATTACTCTCCCAAGAATGCATTCTAGACCCCCTCAGCATATCTCTCTTAACTCTAGGGGTTATCATAACTAGGGCAGGTAACTACATGGCCGGGCTGGTATCTTTTCAGAGTTACCTGCCCGGCGGTCTGGCTAGTAATTGCCTTGAATTTCATACACTGTTACTGTACCTTGACTTCAGTAGATTTGACCTGGTTTTCGCAAGTTTATAGCAAGTGTATGATTTTATATATAATTTGAACATTCCTTGTGTGACAGCAACTAAATTAAAAACTAGGCTTTTCTATATCTGTATTCTATGCAGTAATAGCACAACAAATGCTAAGCCTATACAGAAATAAAGTTTTGTGATTATAAGATAATGTGTCTAAAAGATTGATAATTTTTACCCATTGAAAAGATGAATTAATTACTGTACTTATCTTTCCTATTTCAAACCTAAAAGAGAATTAAAACCTCAACTTAAAGTATCCATTTTTCTTAATTTCTGAAATTAACATGAAGCCGTGGCAGTCTGAACAACTTTTGGTAATAGAGGACAAGTGGATTTGGTAGAAAATCCCAGATAGGATACCTTTGAACACGGTGTGGCTAATGCACATCATAACAGAACTGTCTATTATTATTATTATTACCGTATTATTATTATTATTATTATTATTATTATTATTATTATTTCCGCAGGTAAAGCACAACAGTTTGGACAATGTACAAAAACAGGGGTTATGGTACCACAAGCTAACGGTCCTGATTATCCTTCACAAGTGATCAGACAGATATCTAGTCTAAGAAATAATGGCCTTCTGAAAGTTCCATCTGTATTAACAAAAGAGAATGGGCTGGAAAGCAAAATCAAGTTACCAAGGTGCTGTGGGCATTTGCGACAGGTGTCCTCATCCCAGAATAACCAGCAGCCAAAAGGTGTGTCTGTGCTAGGCAAGAAGAACATAACAATCAGAATGGCTGTCATGTTTGGGGTGATGCCTGTATTGTTTAGCAGCTTAGTTTTGTGGACATTTTTAGAAACAGAAACTACAAGCACGCAGAATGTCTTCTCTGTTATATATTTGATAACTGTACCTATAGTTCTTTTGTCTGTGAGAAGAAATCTCCAAACTTATATCAGAGAGTTATACTTTGATCGAAGTTCTAAGAAGTTTACTGCTGTCACATTTTCCAAAGGAAAAAAGCAATATGTATCTTTCTCCTCAGAGGAAGTTAAGATTTTAAAGAAACGTTCGATTAATTCAGCTGCATTCTTTGAACCAAATATGGAAATTGAAGGAAAACCTTTTGTTTTGTTCTTTTGGGATATTTATAATGACGAAGCACGTAAAGAACTCTTCATGAAAAAAAGACCAGTAGACAGTACAGAAGAAGGATTAAAGAAGCTGACTGAGTAATAAATAGGACAGCATCTCTTTGTATATTAAGTTGAAATAAAATATGATCATGACCTAAATAAATGTATCAGTTATAATACTTGTGGTCATCATTAAATATTATTCTTTGGGGCAATTTACAATTGTATTATCTAAATTGCCACAAACACAACAGCAGACTTGGGGCCCCCATTCAGAATGGATGATCCTAGTATTTCTTATTAGCTGACTAAAAATGGCCGACCACAGTTCAAAAGCAATGCCTCTGATTCCTGATGGTCTCCCCGGCTCCACACGTGCCTTTAAATCTCTGCTCCGAGGGTTAATTGCTAGGCCCATGCAGTGATGCTGCATGTGGAGGTGAGGAGATCATCAGGAATCAGAAGTATTACTTTTGAACTGTGGTTGGCCATATTTAGTCAGCGGATTGGTAAATACTGGGATCATCCATTCTGAATGGTGCCTAACAGGTCTGTGGATCAAATATGGCGACCCTCTCAAAAGCTTGCCACATTATGCCCTAATAGACACTGAATAGAGTCCCTGCCAGGATTAGGCGACAAGCATTCTAGTGGGTTCCCCTGTTGTGAATGCAACCAATGATTTACTAATTATACTGCAGATTGTTGGGGGTTGATCTCTTTTCAAACAACTCAGAACATAGAATAAAATCATTTTAGGTATGATGATAAGTTGAAATATTTCTCAAATCTCTAGGCAGAAGTGAGTAATTCATGTGTCACTTCCATGAGCACCAACCAAAATTGTATCATCCTTTAAAATAGTCTTTTATTATTTTTTAAAGGGGAGATTATTTGAATATTAGGGAATTGCGTGGATTATGATGCATCTCTTTGAAGTCATCCTTCTGTCTTTTTCAGGAGGCACATCAAGAATTCAACAAAAGTTGCCACTCAGAATTGCTCCTAACGTCTTGAACATTTTGTTCTTGCCCAGAAATCCTTTACATCTGCCAAAGAGAAAAAACTCCTCAGTTAATAATAAAATGCAACAAACTTCTTCAAAAGGTGATCTTGTGTACAGAGGTGATCGGCTTAATTTTGCCAAAAAGGTCAAACTTTTATCAATAGGTTTGTCAGCTCTAGGAGTTTCGGCTCAGCTTTGGTTTCTGTACACTGCAGAGACTAGCGCACAAATGTACACCACTTTTATACTGGGAGGCATAGCGCTGCTAGTTCCCTGTCTTGTGCACATGTGTATACGACAGTATGTAAGAGAGTTATACTTTGATCCTAGAACTAAAGAGTTTACAGCTGTGACTCTGAGTATTTTAAATAAAAACCACTACTTGCATTTTACTCCGGCTGATGTCACCATAAAGAGAGCTCCAATGGCTACCATGCGCGTGGATACAGCTGATAGACTGTTGTACATTGATTTTGAAAAAATGACGGATAAACAAGCACGGATTTGCTTGTTGAAGTTGGAAGCTTGGCAAGACTCATCAAGAGAGAAGGAAGAATGGGAGAAATGGAAGAAAAAGAGACTGCAGTAGAGAATGTTCTGAGTTATTATTGAATAAATTTGATACATACGCTGTCTTGAATAATATTATAATATATAAATATATTATCTGTGAAGAGTTACATGATGCATGGTCGGTGTATGTATATTTCATTTCTGGTCATTGGATCTCATTGGATATACCGCAACCATTTTCTACACTTAACACTGGACAAAACCGCGTAGCTTCAGGAAAAAAAATAGCAACCTGGAAAATGATGACAAAGTGAGTAACTTAGCCAAATGCAAGTAAAAAAGGAGAGTTACAAACCAAACACGAGCTGTAGCACGAGAGTCATTTGAAATGATGTAGTTTTAAAACCTCCCTTTGTGTGTGGGGTTTGATCTGCGGTTTTGTCCAAATTGTTACAGAGCCTTGGCGCTCAAGAGAAAATGCCATTTACCATGGGAAATTCATTAATTATGAATTTTGGAGCAAAAAAAAAAGTCTTGTGTACCATTGAATTCTATCGATTTTTTTTTCACAAATGTGTGGGTGAGATCATAGTGAAGTTTGAAAATACTCAATGCCCTGTTTGTATCATTTAGTGCCTCTTTTCAATTCTTTTCCTTGTACAATACTTCTGTAGTTCATTGGCAAGTAGGCTCTTATATAGAGAACTTCCGTACCTTCTGCATTTCTGGAAAAATATTTAGATGCTTCTAGGAAATTGCCTTAAAAAGAAACATCTTCGAATGTATGTCACCACCCCCAGCAAAATTGATCAATTATCTTACTGCTGTACATGTATTTCTTTCACATTTTTGATTGCCACATTTTTGCCTATTTAGTTAGCCATATATCACTTAAACCCAATATAGAGGTGCATTTCACGTGCTGAAGTGTTAAAAAATAAAACTGAATGAATTCAAAGATGTATTCAATTTTTTTAAAACATGTATATACTGTAGAACAAAAATCCACAACTGCCTCAACTTTAATTTAATTTTTAATTGTTACCATGTCTTTACAGCATGTAAGGAGCCTAAATTGTAATGTATGTTCTGGGTCATTTAATTTGAATTTTTATATCACGTACCAATATATTTTTATAGTAATTAATCATGTTAAATTAAACATGGTGCAAGAATGTTTTTATAAATATTTAAACTGTAACTCAGGGGCTTTGCATCATGGCTAATACAATGTAACGTATATTCCCCAGAAAAATTGTCAAAGATTCATCTTACCCAAGTACTTGGTGCAATAGAAACAGCTAGGGTTTTCCGTTGTTGACTTAAAATTTATATTGTGATTCCATGATAGTTTGCCATTCCTGATACAATATTTGGATCAGGAATGGAAAACAGTAAATTATTTTACTGTCAGTAAAGTGTTTTTCCCCCGTTTTTAATATTCAGTGAAACTAAAGTCGCTCAAAAACAATTACCGGTATAACTGCTAGAAGATTAATTTAATTTTTACATTATACTTGTAGGAGATAAACAAAATACAACCCAGGGATAATTGAATTTTCAAAGTGAATAAAACGTTTCCAGATCTGAATGTTTTGCATTTGTGACAGTAACATATATATGTTCCTTTTTTTATGTGTTAGACGACATTTGCATATTTGCATGGTTACATGTCGATACATCCCTGTACCGATACTCCCTCGCACCGGTATATCCCCACACNGATAATTTTGATACATACCCTGTGTTGAATAACATTATAATATATAAATGTATTATCTGTGAAGAGTTACATGATGCATAGTTGGTGTATGTATATTTCATTTCTGGTCATTGGATCTCATTGGATATACCGCAACCATTTTCTACACTTAATACTGGACAAAACCACGTAGCTTCAGGAAAAAAATCGCAACCTGGAAAATGATGACAAAGTCAGTGACTTAGCCAAATGCAAGTAAAAAAGGGAGTTACAAACCAAACATGAGCTGTAGCACGAGAGTCATTTGAAATGATGTAGTTCTAAAACCTCCCTTTGTGTGTGGGGTTTGATCTTCGGTTTTGTCCAAATTGTTACAGAGCCTTGGCGCTCAAGAGAAAATGACGTTTACCATGGGAAATTCATTAATTATGAATTTTGGAGCAAAAAAAAAAAATAGTCTTGTGTACCATTGAATTCTATCGATTTTTTTTTCACAAATGTGTGGGTGAAATCATAGTGAAGTTTGAAAATACTCAATGCCCTGTTTGTATCATTTAGTGCCTCTTTTCAATTCTTTTCCTTGTACAATACTTCTGTAGTTCATTGGCAAGTAGGCTCTTATATAGAGAACTTCCGTACCTTCTGCATTTCTGGAAAAATATTTAGATGCTTCTAGGAAATTGCCTTAAAAAGAAACATCTTCAAATGTATGTCACCACCCCCAGCAAAATTTATCAATAAATTATCTTACTGCTGTACATGTATTTCACATTTTTGATTGCCACATTTTTGTCAGCCTAATTGGGGTCATGCCGATACTCCCCCGCACCGTTACTCCCCCGCACCGATACTCCCCCGCACCGTTACTCCCCCGCACCGATACTCCCCCTTAGTAAATTTTTGCATTATGCACATCGATACAACCCCACACCGATAGATCCC